CCCTTCGGCCAATCGCTCCTCGGCATGCTCGAGAAGTACACCGCTCTTTCCTGCGAATGGATCTTCGCATGAGTAAATCAATCAACTGCTCGGCAATGACAAAAGATAAAAAGCATCAGGAACACACAACTGGGATATTTACCTAGGAGGTAGATTTTTGCAGTGAAAGGGTTTCGTCTGCCCTAGCAAGTTGAATGAGGCAAGTGGAGCGAACAGCTCTGCGGCCCGCTCCCTACACAACATCCCTCGATAGCATCTCCGACCTCTCCCGGTACCGTCGGTCTCCCCCTTGAACTCAAAGGCAAGGTGGGCCCTCTCCTTGTAGGGCTGGATACGGCGCACTATAAAGCTTGCCGCCACTAATCCACCGTTGGTCTTCATGCCCTTTATTAAGCCAAGGAGCTCCCTCACTTGCTCCATATCAGCGCTGCTTGGCATCTCCGACCAGCTCTTCTAGCTCTCCAGTATGTGGTCGGTGTTGCAGAGACTATAGGGTGGCTCTGCTTCATGTAGAACCACCTGGTGTTCCACCCCTTCAACGATGTGCTTAGCAGAACAGTAAGGTATTCCCCTGCCATTCCATCGCGCAGCTGAAGATATACTCCATCGACCACCTTGGAACCACCGCCGCCTCTCTTCTTTAGCCAGAACAGGTGACGGAAGATATTGAAGTGTGGAAGGATTCCGAGATACGCCTCACAGAAATAGATGAAGATAGATATGTGCAATATGGTATTTGGGTGGAGGTTGCACAGACTGACCACCCAGAGCTCCAACAGATCCCTCAGGAATGGATGAACAGGAAATCCCAACCCGCACCAGAAATAATCCTCAAATACCACCACTTCGTCGGTATGAGGCATGGGGAAGGGCTCACCGAGGGCCGGCCGCCATCCGGCGGTGACGCGGTCAGGTAGAACACCCGCCTCCATCAATCTGTTGAGCTCCGCCTCTCCCGTTCGTGACAGCACCCACTCTTCATCACGTAGGATTTCGGCGCTCGCCTTCTGGGGGCTCGTCTTCTTTGGTTTCGTAGCTCCCTTCTTTGGCGCCATCTCTCAGATCTGGTTAGGGTTTGGCGGCAGAAGCAGGTGTAGATGTGAATCTGGAAATGCGACGGCTGAGGAGGAAGATGAAATGACAAAGGGGTAGAGGTATGAGCGCGGGGTGCAGCGGCGCAGTTATAAAGCACTCCCCCCACCTTTTCGCATTCGAGGGTTTTTGGGAAACCGTTCCTGCGATTTGCGTTTCTCCGAATTCTCCGCAACTGAAGGTGGGCCGTTACCTGGGCCTTCGCACAGCCCCGGCCCGTATCGCTGATTTATCTCTGCAATTTGTTATGGCTCGTCGAATATTCGCCGACATCTCCGCCAACCGTTACGGCTCGGTAATTACTACTGTACAGCCATTACTCCGGTGTTTTCTCCGTGATTCTGTTTTCTCCAAGTTGACTGTTGCTTTTGACCCTGGCACCACGTGATCATGTCACCTACTGTCAGGCTCGGGGACTAAGTGCGCACACTTCACCTTGCGGTGAATGTGCTTTTTGGGGCTGCGCCCGGGGACTGGCTGCCTACTCAGCTGGTCTTCTATTTTTCTTCTACTTTGGACCCTGGCACCACATGACTACGTCATCTACTGTCAGGCTCGGGGACTAAGTGGGCACACTTCACCTCGCGGTGAATGTGTTTGCTTTATTTTAGAAGACTCCGCGCCTATTGAAGCTAAAGAAGACTATCTCCTTTTCTCGTGGTCGGACTCTAAGTTGGCACACTTGGTCCACTACGAAGAAATTTTTTATTCTAAACTTAAGCTCCTTACACCCTTATGGCAAGCCGTACTTGGGTTATACTGCTCGGCTACGGTTCACGCTGCTCGACGACGGTTCACGCTACTTGACAACTGCTCGGCAACTCATCACGGTGGTCGGACCATGAGTTTGACTGCTCGGCTTTGCTCGCACCTACTCGGACAAGCTCAAGACGGCGTTGCACAATGGGTACAAGGCGCTCGGGGACTAGCTGTGGGGGGTACGACCCCGGACACCCACAGCAGACCACATGGGCTACGCCCCTAGGGGCGGCCTAGCCCACAAGACAAAGCCTTGCGGGGCGTGACTCTGCTCGGCGCCTCCCGCAAGACACCGGGAAAATATCCTAAAGATACTACGAGATCTGTTAGGATACGTATGATCCCAAGATTCATGTAATCTGTTATTACTTTTCGGTTATCTCTCAGATCTAACCGACTTGTAACCCTACCCCCAGACTATATAAGACGGGTAGGGACCCCCTCCAAACACACGTAATATCATACGATAGCTAATACAAACCAACAGACCACAGGAGTAGGGTATTACGTCATACTGACGGCCTGAACCTGTATAACTCGTGTGTCTCTGTTGCCTTCTTGTTCTTGATCACACGCTTCTCTGTCGATCAATCTACCTTCGTGGGATACCCCTCGGAGGACTACCGACGATATTATGTCGACAATTGCTTTACAACCATACTTGATAATTGTACGAATCGTGGAGTAACTTTTCGTTTTGCATTCTTATTGATCGTTTTAGTTGAAATACTTCACCTATTCGTTTCATCACATGCATTACCCCATAAGCATGATTCTCATGACGTGTTTTAGTAAATGTTTTAGGGTGTAACACCAAGGGTGTTACAACGTATCTCGTATGTGACATAGATTCATGACTCGAGTTCATACAATTTAGAACAACTCACATCTAGCGATGATACGGAGTACAAAATTTCTACACTTATTGGGTTCCGTTGCACGCACGAGCACATTCGCTAGTATATTAATATTAAAGAGCCAAAATTTCGTATTTGACCCGGACTCATGACCCACGCTAGCAACTTGCGTCTGGTGATGATACGGAGCCTGATTTCTATATGTAATAGATTCCATTGCAACACACGAGCATGCTTGTTAGTATTATATTATTATATATACAAGCTATGCAAGGCAGTCCTCCCATTTGATCATATGTTGATCTTACATCAATATACTAACCGTACAAGGCACAATATAATATGGATATGCGAGCTAACTATATTCCTTTATTATTATATATACACTATAAACTAATCCTAGAGACGGCAGCGATGCAGTGAAATGGTATAGGTAGACATGTGTGTCAACCATGGCCGGACTCAACAGGAGGGGGGGGGGGGGGCTCCAGCCCCCCTACCCCATGGAGCTCTCCTAGGGGTTTCTCTTAAAAATTTTAGCCGTGGATGCAGAGGAGGAAGAAGAGAAAGAGGAGGAACGAGGAAAGATGAGCCCTCCTCCCCGAATCAGATTGCTCCTGAAGCAATCGCTCGGCTACCTGCCGTCCTGTAGTGCCTGTTGTAGCCCTTCCGAAAAAACATCGAACAGCTTGCTTCCATATTGTAAAATGGAAACGGTAACAACCTAAATGTAGCTGAAACCTGGGGTGTTGTTTTTTATTCGGCAATATAAGATATGGTTGTTACCTAGGGTGTTGTTTTTCTGCTGTGGGCCATGTTGTAACCTTGAGTTAATCTTTGCTAAAACTTGCTTTTTTGCAGCAGGCCGTAGAGGGGCCATAATGCAAAATCATGGACCCACCCTGACCGTTGTAATAAAAAAAAAAGAGCGAGAGCACCCCGCATTGTCGTGGAACGACCCCTCCGTCTTCGTATTGCCAAGAAGGAGCAGCTGGCTTGCCGGTTCACTTAGCCTAGACTTTATTTAAACCTAGGTGTAAATTTTTTGGGCGTCATATCGGGTGTTATATAGGGGTGTTGTATGGGGTGTTCGGATATTAATAAAAAAATAAATTATAGAATCCATCAGTAATCCACGAGACGAATTTATTAAGCATAATTAATCCATTATTAGCACATGTGTTAATGTAGCACCACGTTGTCAAATCATGGACTAATTAGGCTTAAAAGATTTGTCTCGTAAATTAGTCGTAAACTGTGCAATTAGTTATTTTTTTAGTCTATATTAAATACTCCATGCATGTGTCCAAATATTTGATGGGATGGTGAGTAAACTTTAGGGAGAAATTAAACAATGTCTTAGACCCCGTTTGGCAGGTCTTCACTTCACTAGTGAAGCTATTTTTTTTTTTTCAGCTCCATGAACGAACAACTCCACTAGTGAAGATAAAACCGTTTTGATAAATTATTTGGCAAAAAGACTTCACTTGTCTTATCATGCATGGTTGAGAGGTCAATTGTCCAAGATACCTCTGTGTACTCACATGTATAGTAACATCTAGAGTTGTATGTTTCTATATGATTTTTCATCCAAGTAAATTTAAATTTAAAAAATAAAAATTAAAAATAACATAAAGAATTAGCAACCAATCCGGAGGAAGAGGAAGAAAAAATATCTGCCAAACGTTTTGTTGTGGCAGGTCGTGCTATTTCTCTGAAATTCTAAGGACATGGCTAGCCAAAATTATTCTCCTGAAACCGATGAGAAAGCCCTGCCAATCGAAGCTTTAGTTTGTACGGTTTTTGGTCATGCTAGTGACACTTGTAAAATAGATATCTTTTTATAATGCGATTGAGATTGCTTTACTAGAATCAATAAAATCCGCTGTTTAGCTGTATTGCTTCCAGTAAGCATTAGAGTTCATGGCTTGTCAAATGTTTAGCCACGCAATCATCAGTGTGAATTGTATTGCAGCCTTTCAAGACGCAGATTGTTCATATTCGACATAGTGAATTGCTGGAACCATATAAAAGTAGAACCAAAATCATTTCTGTTCTGAAGTGCATAGCTGGATCCCGTTATCAACTGTATAAACATCGTCATACAATACAAAAATGCTATATCGTGTAAGTCGCCTCTGATCCAAATCCAACAGCTCTGGTAGGCGCATCAAACAAAAACAACACATCCAACCAATCTACACGCTGTGAGGATGCCAAAAGGGGTGATGAAGCACAGGTGCAAACAAACTCCTACTGGACACCTAGGGTCCATTCCGGCTCCATGCGGGCTTAGTAACGGATAATATCACTCAAGATGCTAAAGAAATGGTTGATATCTATCTTGTCCTCTCCGGCATAAATTGCTTCTGCACTTCCTCCGGTTGGCCCCTGTGCAGCCATCTCAACAAGTGTGTACAACTTCTTGATTGGCATCTGCAACACAGAAGCATTGTAAGGATTTGATCATTCAGGTTTCTGATTATTAATAAGAATGCTAGATTAACAACAAAAGATTACATCATCCAGTGCTTCCGCTGCTGCATCAAGATCTCCATCATCGAACACATCAAGATGATGCAATATCTGTAGAGAAACCAGAAAGTGTGAGCTGTGAAGGAAGAAACACACCTAATGAATCCAAGGCACAAACTTCTAAACACCCTGTGATCATCGCATATGCAGAGAAAACCAATAAACAGGAAGTATCACTGCCACGCTGCAACCATATCTTGCAACTGTCGGAGTATGTAGCATTTCAACTACCCGGGAAACAAAATCCAGTATGGTATTCCCTCACCTTTTTGGCATCCTCCTTTTTCAATTTGGGAACATGGTATGTCACAGAGAACACATCACACATTCCAACAGTTTCTAGGAAGCCAACCTCGCTTGTTGTTCCAATCACAAGCAAGTTTTTTCCCTGCAAAATATGAAGAGGCGAGCAAGTCAAATGAAGTAGTTACAAAAGAGGGGTTTAACCTTCTGCTAACGATGTCGCCTCAGTGTCCGAGTTCAACATGTAAGTAGTGAAACAATAACCAAGTATGGAGAACAAGGATAATACTTCATGTGTTTGGTATGGCATCAGGGTTGGTGACAAACATCAGTAAATGTTCAGTAAGCCCAATTCAGTGCCATCAACAAGATATTGAAACTGTACAATCATCTATTGAGTGCAAGGTCCAGGAATTTCCTTGCAAATACCTCGGGCTCCCGTTGTCAATCCAAAAGTTCCCCAAATCTGAATTCTATGTGATAATTGACAAGATTGCAGATAAGCTTCCTGGATGGAAAGCGGCCATGATGCACCCAGCTGGGAGGGTTACCCTTGTCCGTGCAGTGCTCACGGCCATACCCATCTATATGCTCCTCGCTTTGAATTTTCCTAAATGGGTAATTAAAGCAATTGACAAGATTCGAAGAGCCTTCCTTTGGAAAGGCCGCAGAGAGGTTAATGGAGGTCATTGACTTGTTGCATGGGCCGGGTCAAGAGGCCAATTGATTTAGGAGGTCTGGGAATTCTTGATTTGGAAATACTTGGCTGGGCTTTGAGAATGAGATGGTTATGGTTGAAGAAGACACAACCTGACCGTCCATGGGCTGGTCTTGACATTCAAGTGCATCCTAATTCAGTGGCAATGTTCTCTGCTTCGGTTATTTCTATTGTGGGTGATGGACACAGGACACTCTTCTGGTGTGATAAATGGATGCATGGGAAATCCTTGACAGACCTTGTGCCATCCTTGTGTAGGTATGTGCCAAAGAAAATTTTAAACCAAAGAACAGTTCATACAGCATTGATGGATAATTCATGGGTCAGGGATATTAGAGGTGGTCTGAAAACAAAAGCTCTATTAGAATACCTGCAATTATGGGAGATCTTATTTGAGGTGGTCCTTACTCCTGGAGTGGAAGACCGGCATATTTGGACACCATCTCCTTCCGGTGAATTCTCGACTAAGTCAGCATACCGACGATTTTTTGTGGGGTCTGTTGATTTTGAACCATGGAAGGATATTTGGAAAACTTGGGCCCCTCCTCACTGTAGGTATTTCATTTGGTTGGTGGCACTGAATCGTTGTTGGACAGCTGACCGTCTCGCTCGTTGTGGCCTTGATCATCCTGAGCACTGTCCACTATGTGATCAGGAGGATGAAAATGTGCAACATTTGCTCACAGCATGTGTTTTATCAAGACAAGTCTGGTATTCAGTTCTGTCCTTGGTCGGATTGCAGCAGCACACACCAGGCCTGGATGCTCTAAGTTTCATTGAATGGTGGCGCCATGCAATGCAGCAAATCGAAAAGCAACATCGCAAGGGATTCAATTCATTAGTGGTGTTGGTAGCATGGTGGATTTGGAAACATAGGAATGCTTGTGTTTTTGAAGGAGCCTCACCTAATGTTAATGCTCTCGTGCAAGAAATTAGGGATGAGGCAAATTTGTGGTGTATGGCTGAGGCTAAAGGTCTTAGGTCGCTAGTTGAAGTTTTCTTGCCTTCCTGGCTAATCACTCATGTAAACTCAAGCCCTAATGGGCTTGTTTTGTGTTTTGAGTCTTCTTAGACTCCTTTTCTTCTTCTTAATATAATGATACGAAGCTCTCCTGCGTGTTCGAGAAAAAAAAATACTGGGCAATTATGCAAACCTTAGGAGGAACCCTCTTGAGGAGGACCAGAAGAGTTTGAGAGATCAAGTTTGAAAAACGTGGTCCAATGGCTACATACTCCAGTAACCTACAAGATCATACAAGAATATTAAAACGCAGTTGAAGTTAAATGAGACGCGCAAAGGTTGCATGGCAGCCAGTTCACTTTTAGAATCAAGGGCTCAAGTACCTTTCGATATCATCAAGAATTATGATGCTGAACTGAGACTTGTATGCATCCTCAAAAACCTGTATTTTGCAACAAGACACAAACTCAATATAGTGTGAAATCACACCCCAAAAAAAAGCAAACCAGATATAGCTACAAAGTGCCTTGAGAGATAGATAGAGAGACAGAGAGAGAGAATAAAGAAAAATGGTGCAGAACAACACAAGAACAGTAAATGGGATAAAGTTTCAAATAGATCTTTCCATATATTCGTATTAGCTATTGACTAGGATACGCTAAATGTTATATACAGAATATCACTGACCTTGCAAATCTGTGCGCATTTGCTGCTTTCACTGAAACCAATCATTGTTTCTGCTGATATCTATAGTGAAAAGCACAATTCAGAAATTTAGTCCTATACCTTGCTATAAAGTAGGAAAACTGAAAAGAAAGGAAACTTACAATTTTGACATATGCAAAATCACTGTCAATGCCAACACTTGCTGCCATAGCTGTTTTACCACTGAAGCAGTAAATATGAAATAAGTTTCCAGCAAAGTTTTTAAAGACATGGATGTTATTTAGCCTTTAGATACTGTACCTTCCAGCAGGACCTTCCAAGAGGCAAGTCACAAGTGGACTACCTTTGCTAACTTTAACTTGCTCTACAAGGAGCATAGCTCTCTGGTAAATATGCTTATGTGCCTTGCCACAATCAACAATACCACGCAATCTGCATATTTCCACATAAAGATGTTGTTGAATATAAAATTAAATTATTTGAGTTCTATGAAACAAGGAAGCCAACAGTATGTATTATACAATATACACAGGAAACTAATTACAAAAACACATATATGTGTGAAATAGGAGTAGCATCCAAGAATAAATAATTCAAATAAGCTGAGCAGCTGAAAATGCTAGCACATGCTATCTGCTCATGTCAAGTTGTGCATGACATACATAAAAAATGAGAGAACCTCCTACTAAGCTAGCTAATAGATAGAGAGAGAAAACCATTAAGTGGAACATATTTAACGTAAGTGTGTAAAAGTATGCTTGATAGAATATGGAGAGGACAGCAGAGACCTAAATCTACACACAAAAACACAATGAGAGAAGATAAGTGCTACGCAACAGGAGTGGATCCCTGAACTGCATATTCGTGGAGAAAAAAAGGAGAGCGGATCCCAGAAATGCCCTAAAAAGAATACAATCATCTTGCATTTGACATGTACATATGTCATTTTGCTAAATTAATGTTCAAAGACATTACAGCACACACCTGCATCTTTCGAGATCATCGGTGGAAGCACCAAATGCAGGAGTAATTTCATGAAGTGCATTCACAAAATCATCCATAGTAACCTTAATGCTTTCCTCATCCAAAGGTTTAGTGAGGTCATCCATGGTTATCTGCCGGTTCAAAGCAAACGAGACAGCACTTTTGACAACACCTTCCAACTCCGCTCCACTGTAGTTCTTTGTCCGTGCGGCTTCATTCAGAAAATCAGGTGTCATTTGGACATAGTATTAACAATCATCAATTCATTCTATACAAAGAGAATTTCCAATGAGTGCTAATGTGCATAAGTAATGTTATTGTTGAACTGGCATAGTGGTATGTGCAGCTGTTGTTTGTTGACACTTAACGTGAGGAGGGAATCTGGTTTTGGGCTGCTATGAGATTTCCCTTCATCCTTGCCTTAGGGGTCTATTACATGGGTGGTCGGTTTGAGAACCGACACAATTTGTTACACAAGAAAAACTACAATTTGTACAACAGTTCATACAGTTAATTATGTCTGCTGCTATTATCTGTCATGCAGCATACATAGTAAGCCAAAGAAAAATGAAAGACAGCCTACTGTTCTGTACAACACGAGGATTAGAATAACAGTTGACACAGTAAATATTTCAAAACAAAAGTTTCAAAATATTAAAATTCCATCAATAGAACTAGCATGATTCAGCCAGAGCTAACTAACTGGTGAGGGTTCCATGCTATGAAAAATACTGGAAACCTTTGTTATAAAGAATGCAATGCCTGAAAGTATATCGATTCGCCAAAAAAGAAGAGACAAACCTAGCTCATGAAGATTAATATCTGGAGATAGGAAAGAATTCTCTTTCATCTTATTTGTATGAATCTGAAGGATTTGCAAACGACCATTTTCATCAGGCAGGTTTATCTCGATGTGAACTTCCAATCGTCCAGGTCTGCAACAGATGTACCAAAGGGCAATGGACTTATGCAAATAGAAAACAAAAAAACTGTAGTTAAGGTGCAAAATTCCTAAATCAATGAACATCAACCTCTTTGAATTGCCACACCTGAGTGATAAAAACTAGCTTGAATTCATTAAATAGGCAGGTTAAATAATATATCTATGTCTCATTAGCCAACTCCGTCTTTTTAATATGACGCATTTCAGGCTACTGGGCCAGTTTGGATAGAAAGGTTTCCATTTTTAGAGTTTTGGAAACGTATTAGGGTTTTGCAAAATACTATGGTATAGGAAAGCTAAAAGGTGTTTGGATGCAAGAAAGATCTTGTAGTTTTGAAAACCACAGAACTCCTTGCTAAAACTGTAGTATCTTAGGTGTTTTAGAGACCCCACTCAAGACGTCGTTTTTCTAAAACAGTGATTTTGCACACCTCTGATTTGTAAAACTATGTGTTGGAATATAAGTGAATTGTCCACCTCTCCCCATCAGCTTAAGCTTTTGGGTTGAACTGGTCGGTGCATGCAACTCAATATGGTATCAAAGCCAGAGGTCTCGAGTTCGAATCCTGGTTAGCGCAATTAAATAAAATAATTGTTGCTCGCTCCTATTCCACGTCTGAGGCCTGAGGGAGCCTCCACGTGAGGGGGAGTGTTGGAATATAAGTGAATTGCCCACCTCTCCCCATCAGCTTAAGCTTTTGGGTTGAACTGGTCGGTGCATGCAACTCAATACTACGGTTCCTTCATACCACATTTTTTAACACCACCCACAGAGGCCCTTAACCACTAAATTGGTGAGTTTACAACTAGTAAAATGAACCAAAGAGAAACATAGCTTACCTCAATAAAGCTTCATCAAGCAAATCTTTACGATTGGTCATTCCAATAAGCAATACGTTATTCAACGCCTCAACACCATCTATCTAAAGGGTACAAATTTTGATCAGAACTCAGTATCATATAAATGTATATACAGAACATAAAAGAAAAAAAAGGTTGCAGATTCTACGAGATCACACCTTTGTAAGGAGCTGGTTTACAATGCTATCATGTACACCTGTACCATCACGGGTAGATCCTCTAGACTGCATAATCAGATTTCCATTTAGGCTAGCCAGGTTATTGTTTTAAATAAAATGAATGATACTGTAAATGATCAAATTATATGGTATACAGTTGTGCATGCAATAGACAATGCAATTTACAGAAAACCTAGAAGAGATGAAAGAGCTTAACGTGGGAATTAGGTATAACTAAAGAAATGTTTACGGACAGTATATCATAGATTCATAGATAACAGGTTTCAGTTTCATGTAATCAAAGGTATCCAGAAGAAACTATGCCACTTAAAACTACGTAATTTTGACAGGGCCTTTCCAATAATACATGATCACCCACTGTAGCAACACATTTAAGAGGAAGTTCATGTAACAATTATAAGGGATTTTTTTTTCTCAAATGCAACCTAGGGGATAAAAGCACTAGTACCCATGGAGACTCCACCGAAATCTAAACCGGTAAGAACACCCTTATCTAATGAATTATTGATAGTTGAAAGTTATCTTTTATCTGTCACCTTGTCGTATTTGAGAAATCTAGCACCTTGCTAAAGCTCTGGGCAATGAAAATAGTACAATATACATGATGGCATAAACATAACGGGAAATTAATTTCACCTTGCAGATGGCATCAATTTCATCAAATATGATAACATGGAGGTCACTCTGATCACCTGTGTCAGAAAGGAGGTACAAAAGAATGAAGTGTTTAAAAGGTTTCAATCAACACAGAAATATGGAAATGCTATGAGAAAACATACCTTGTGTCCTCTGCTCATTTTCAGCATCAGCAAACAAATCTCTCACATTCTTCTCGGTTTCTCCAACAAACTTGCTCAGAACTTCAGGTCCATTCACAATCTGAGATTGGAAAAAATGTATAAGACATGTAAGAGGCTAATCGACAAAAATCTAGCATTACAAATAGAGGAAGATGGTAGTATCTGTGGAATCAATTCACTGCACAGGTTTGACAAACCCTCTTACATCTATTAATTTAGATGGACGGACAACATTGCTAACCTATACTTCACTCCACAGCTAAATTTTCTAGTTCTGCCTCTGCATTATGGTGTTAGTTTTCACAAATCATATAAGTACAGACCACTGGCTAACCGTGCTCCATTCAAGCATATTACTATATTATCATCAATAGTACATGAAAATTTATCAGCACAATATGGACTAAAATTAAAGCTTTTAGTTGAGTTAGTATTTACAATAACAGAACTGAGACTACCTGAAAAGTGCTAAGTTCTGATCTACTAACACTAGCAAATAAGAAACTTCCTCAACCCAAGTTTAATCTAACATTCATATATAGTAAAATGTCCTTCAAATACTTAAAAAAACTGAATGATACAACAACCTTCGCACAAATAGTTAGGTAAATGACAAATTTGTATCCATGTTTATTAAGAAAAATTCATACCTTGGGATCTTTTCCATTCAATAATTTGCCAATTTGTCGGGCCATAAGAGTCTTGCCAGTACCAGGAGGTCCATATAGCAATATACCCTTTACATGTTTGATGCCCAACCTACAGTATTAGATCATTAGCAAAAGATCTCGATTACAACAGTAGAAAAAAACAGTGAAGCAGGTATCATACTTACTTACTGACAACGTGAGGAGGAAAGACTCTTGAAGCGAATGCCCTACGAAATATGTCAGTGAATTCAGCACTTAACCCACCTATCCCCAATTTCTCCAGGTTAAACTCTTTATGTTTGAAAAGTTTGCTGCTAGCAGCTTCCTTTTGGTTGATCACCTAAAGTACAAAAACAGGATTATTGAGGTATGTGACAATTTACAGATAATGCTTCTGCCACATTCGCAGTTAAAATGAGTGCTAAGAACAATATAGGGGGTGTTTCAGATAACCTTAATTCCTGAATTAGGAGCAGCCTCAAATATGATGTATGTATCACTTGACAAGTATCCTCTATCCAATGGTGTAGAACTCTCTTGACCCTCTAGCAAAGCTTGATTGACGGTGAATACATAGTTTGTTCCATAAAATTCAAATGGCACCCTTTGCCCTGAGGTCATGACCTGTAATGTGTAAACAACCCCAGTGGACAAACTTATTGGGCACATAAGTAACAATAATAAAACTACAGCATTTGATAATCCAATAATGCACTAGTGGCATCTCATGAATAGCATACACTTTAAAGTTAACCGAACGAAAAAGAGCGCTACTCAAAGAAATAAAGTAACCAATAGTCTCGTACCTGATCCAGAAACCTCTTACGCAGTTGTTGGGCAAGGACAACAGCATCCAGCTGATAAGCCAAGACAAAGAATATGAGATGACAGTGATCAAGCACTAGTAAGATCTGCATCATAAACAGTCATAGCTTACCTCGTCATTTCGGTTGGCTCTTGCCTTGGCATACTCTAGCTCCAAAGTGAGCAAAGCCAACTTGAAATCATCAGGGGGGACAAAACTGGACAACAAATTATCATTGCAAACAGTAAGGCAACACAGCATCATAAAGATATTCATTTCAGTGGACAGTTAAACTGCCAACCTGCTAACAGTAACAGAATCCCCAGCTGAAACCTTTGCCTGCCGACGCTGAATAGCATTCAAGGCAATGCGTCCACTTGCAACAGCATTGTGGTCAGTGGATATCCGTTAAGGATAAAACATGAGAAGAGAAAGATAAAAACCCTTAGGAAGGACAATACATAAAAGGGCGTACCCAGTGCAGAGAGCTCCCGCTCTGTGCGGGGTCTGGGGAAGGGTGTTAGTGGCAAGCCTTACCCTCGCCTGTGCAATGCGAGGAGACCGCGACTCGAACCCGGGACCTTCCGGTCACAAGCGGTAAGACTCTACCGCTTGCACCAGGCCCGCCCTTCAGGAAGGACAATACATGATATTATCAAATCTGCATAGGATTCAGCTGTTCACAAACTTGAAGCAATGTTATGTTATTTTGAAATAACTAGATTTCTAGGCCACAATACCCAATGGTCACACTGTGGACCTGAGCACAACATTAGAATGATAAATAGCAGTATAACACTAACCTGCAAATATGATAAGAAAACAGATCATTAGTCAATGAAAGAATTATGGTTCTTTTTTTTAAGAGATGGCAGGAGAATGATGGTTCATTTCTAAGTTGATTCATCATAAAAGGCTTTTCCAGTGCATCTAAATGGCATAAAACAGATCAAACAGTTCCAGTAACATCACCAAGGCTATAAATGTACGAAGCCTGTTCCACACGGACCAAAATATCAGTGCAACCGAATTTGCGGGTCATCACCAAGAGATTACCAAAGTTCAAATATGCTACCAAAATCAAAACATCAACGCGGAATTCCGTAGACCCAGGATTCAAACTGAGGTTACCAGACCAGATCAAAGCTCCAGTCAGGCTCGTGCGAGAGAGATCTCAGAATAAATTGTGCAGACAATAGATTACAAGACCATCTACAAAAGGATATCGTAGGGTGAAGACCCAGGCGTCGGCGACGAGAGCGAGCCCGTTGGGGAAGCGGCGGAGGTCCGCGGGGGAGACGTATGCGCAGTTGGTGAGGGCCAGCTCCTGGTTCGGCGTGCTGACTACCTCCATGGACGCGCCCCCGCCACCGGCCTGCCCCTGGTAGTACCTTCCTGCCATGGCCGCGGCGCCGCTGCGGTGGTGAGATCTCGCTGGCAGGAGGAGATCGTGCAGGCGCGTGTGATGTCTCGCTGCTCGCGAAGAGGAAGAAGAGGGATTCAGTTTATGCTCTGAGCCCGCTGGCGTGTACAGTGGCTCCTGGCTCGCTTCGTTCTGAAGGAAGAGCCTTTGGGCCTGGTCATGGGCCAAATGTGGTGCACCGGATTCTTTCGAGGAAAAAGTACAATTTACGGCTCACGCGGCAGGCTTCGAGGGAGGCGGCCGCAGCAGGCTCGGGGGCGCGGCGGCTTCGAGTTCGAGGGAGGGACGGCGTGGGACCGGTAGGGGCCGGCGCCGGGAGAGACGGCCGCGCGTGGAGCAAGCAGCCGGGGAAGAGGAAGATTGTCACGAGGTGGGAGAAGAGAGATGGTGGAGACTGAAGAGAGAGAAGAAAAATATAGGGAAGAAAAAAAATAGAGAAATAAAAAAGAAAGGGTATTATGGTACTCTTTTCAAAAAAAAAAAAAGAGAAGTTGTTTTTGTTAAACGGTTTACCAATAAATTTAGCTTCACCAATAGAGCTGTTTTTCAAGCCAAAGATAAGAAAAATTGATTCACCAGTGAAGCTTAGTTGTACCAAATTGTTTGAATCTTAATAGACTTATTTTGGTGCTTATTTGCTAGTAGAAGCTTTTGATGTACAAAGGTGCTAAGTAAGGATTTACTAACCCCAATATTAGGTATTCATCGCATTGCACATGCTAAAAATTAGCATTCATCATGCACGTATATGCATTTTTTTGAAACATATAGTAAAGAAACACATGTACTCCATCCGTCCGGAAAAACATACAATTCTAACACATGTCATGGTTTAGTATCTCAAATTCGATTAGTTATAGATAAAAAATATCAATATTTATGATGTTAAATAAATATGATTATATTCATTACGAAATGCATTTTCTTAATAAATTAATTTGAAGTCATAAGTGTGAATAGTATTCACTAGAAATTTGGTCAGACGTAAACTACTTTTCCCGGCACGCAATCCGTAGTTGCATGCTTTCTTGAACAGAGGGAGTAGTAGTGAAGACTAAAATGGTGATTTGATATTTTTTATGAAGTCTAAGATAAATATTAAAGAGTCTAAAACAAAAACAAAACATTAAGTCTATGTATCTATTCTGGATTATGTTTTATGTTGCAATAAGTTTTTAAAACACATTTATACAGCAATTAAAATATTTTGAAATTTTTCTAGATACTTCCGAATATTTTTGCATTTGCTAAAGCTAAATCTTTTTTGATCCCATATAGATATAATTTCATGGGCTCTGAATATCTTATCTGGATATTTGGTGTATCCCGATCTATCTTCAGAATTTTAAAACCTTGAAGGTTTAAAAAAAAACTTATCAAAGTGTTTTTTTGAACTAAAAAATGGATAAGGAGGTAAACCACTTCAAACCAGGGCACGGAGGTAATATGAATGGTTTCAAAAGTTCGAAGTGAGTAGAATATCTGATTTTAAAGTTTGAGGAACAAATCAGACTAAGACAGTAGTTCTAGTGGTAGAATGATAAAAGACTCGCAGACTTTCCGGCCCCAAAAAGCCCGCAAAGCCGGCGTGCCGTAAACAACCTGATACCATTTGGAAGGCTTGCTCCCTAATTCAGCACCGAGGAAATACCTAAAATCCGTCGGCTCCATCCAACTTTGCCAGGCTCTGGAAATTCCACGTAGCAGGCAAATTTCAGAACATCACAGCAGAAATAAATAACTGCAGTGAATATAACATAGATCTCCGATTAGATTCATTACAAATATCAATTTCCAATTCTGATTCAAACATTTGATAACACGTTTCTCTCGTTTCTAACAAATCGGCTAACAATCCTCCTCTGATTAGGTACACATACGAACACAGATCCGAGGAAAAATACAAAATCGCCAACTGTCAATGGTCACTGACATCTGACAACAAAACCAGACCCCGCTCAACTTTCTCCGGAGCATCGATCATGTTGCATTGTTGCTTCAGTTCAGTATGCTGAACACAACAGCCACTGTCCACAGGATTAAGCACAGATGCCAATCCAGCCCTAGATGTCCCAAGCAGAGCTACTGAAGTGGTCAGAGCTCGCATGCGTGTCTGGGTTTGCAAACACATCAACCTCCTATAGAAATCGCAGTCAAGGAGATCGGTAAAGATGTTGCCCACTGAACTAAGTATTTCTCAGCACAACCTAATTCTTTGTACCAGCAGTGCACAGATATTTCAACAAGTACTCATTAGAAGAGCAAGTGTCTGCCAAATCCTGATGTAGTCTTGTTATAGACTTCTGCAGTGATTTCAGAGAAGGAAGCAAAGTTCTGGAGTTCTGTTGAATATAGTGGCCATGGACCTTACATAGCTCCTATATGATAAAAAGAAAAGAATGAGATTAATATATGGTATATGAACCAAAACATCAGGTATAATCTTGGGACGAAAATGAAAATGAGGATAATACCTGAGACCACAGGAGGATAAATTCCAGATGGGGACAACTTTCCAAGAGACCAGCAAAAGCATCAATCAATCTTTGGAGATACTTGTAAGGAATTGCTGAACAAATTGCTCTTACATCGGATGGATCAACTGCGAATATGCACTTCTTAATCAAGGAGTCCTCATTTAACCGAAGGCTAAGTATAAGGGCTCTCTGCTGTTGGTTTTCTGCAAGAGCTTCCTCTACTTTCTACAAATACCAAACACAGAAATTTGCAAATTGATTAGAGTAATTTCAATTTTCAATAGGTAATTGCCTTCAAAAAAATTTCAATAGGTACACAACAAGAAAGGGCATGAAGTAAATACCTCAGGCGTAACATCAATGTCAAGGTCCGTTGGATCAAAAATAAATGATTCATCAACTGAGTACAATAAAACACCATCAGTGGTCGCTGCAGCAAACGATCTTCCAGTTGGAGCAAACTTAACACATTTTGTCCGAGCTATGGGTCTTCCACGATTTGCCATTGATCCAGGTAAACCAAGCCCTAGGTTTCCTCTAGTCTGTCGATCAATTCCTTCTTCAACATCACTGTCTTCATCATCAATTAGATCTAGTGCACCAGCATCTGTCATCTTCTTTGAGTTCAGAAAATCAAGAACTCCATCCAATGAGAGATTGCGAGTGATCTGGAATCTACGCAACAGCACCTGCTCAAAGAAACACATTAAAACAAGGGCGATTACTTATCTTCCATCGCATACCCCCATATGCTCACCATTCAAAGATGCCAACCCACAATGAATGGCATTTTACGAATCATGTAGTTTCAGTAGTACATAATGGAATTTCTCTAGATAAAATGAAAAATGTTTCTAGCATTATTTCATACCAAGATATGTGTACAAGCAAAAACAACGTCAAGATCATGTGGCTATGTATTTTAGCCTAAAAGTATGTTCGTCATAGCAAAATGGAGAAAAGTCAGACTACTACAGCTTCAGATTTGGGTTCCATGGCATGATGACAACATGTAAATATTTCGAAAATTAAGCAGAAAGATAGAACATTGGTTAGATAATGGTAGTAGATAATATCCAGCAAGTATCTAGAGAGTATTCAAAATGCAGGACCAAAACTGAAGACACGCCCATAGTTGTTGGTATACAACTATGCTTCAAGGTACAAATACAATCATGCCAAGAAAGATTTGCTGACCTGTTCTCCAACATCATACATGCAAATATATTTAGTGTTTCCTCCAGCTAAAATAGAACTTCCATCAGCAGAATAGCACAACGTTGTGAAGTACTTTCCTATACTTGTATTAGCTGCAGATCTCCTGTCAGTCATGAGGCGACCCCCAGCAATATCCCTGCGGCCCTCAATGGTATACATCAACAAACCATCAGATGGATCCCAGAAATGGATTAGGCCATCTAAAGTACTGCATGCTATCTGCCTTCCATCGGGTCGATAAGTTAAAGTAAGAACATCGTGTGAGTGCTGAAAGGTTTCCACTGCACCCTTGCTCTCAAAGACATCCCAAAGGCGAACAGTTTTGTCCCATGATGATGAAGCCAGAATAGCCTACCCAACAAAGCCCAGTTATTGCTTTGATGAACTTACATAACATACAGAACAGAAAATACTGAAATGGAACAAAATGCTCTTGCAGAATCATAAAGTAGTGACTTTTGTAACTAATTGTAGTTCTGAAAAGAAAGTCAAAGAAAATATATCAAAGCATTCTCTTACATTGATTGGAGAAAACATTAGACCATGCACTGGTCCTTCGTGGCCACTGAGTACATCCAACAATCGACCAGTTTTCATTGACCAAACAAATATCTGCATGGAAATGTTTTGATTGTCAACGAAGCTTGATGTGAAGCACAAGACATGAAAATTTTGGGGGATAAAAGGTTGCTGCATACACACACCTCAAATGAATCAAGTGTTCCAGCACATATTACTTCTCCACTCTGGTCTGCGGTTAAAGAAACAAACTGCCTAGGTGAAGGGGTGGTAAATGTTCTGAAGTTGCGATAGCGGAACAAATCCCATGCTCGAATAGTCCCGTCAAGTGAGGCACTTAGAAGAGAATGGTTATTGGCCATAAAATGAACTGCAGTAACAGCATTTGTATGCTCCGAAAATGTTATGAAACAGAACCCAGATGAAACTGTCCAGACCTGCAACACATGAGTTACATTATCAAACTTTTTGTGCAGGACATTAACACTAATTAAATAGATTTATTAAATATTTTTTGCAAAACTAATGTTATCGCCAAATACCGATAGCAGGCACTACTCTTTCATTTGAATAAATAAGCGTGGTACGAGTAAGCACTAAGCAGCTCAGTGAGGCAAGGACAGAGTTAGCTTCTAATTGCACGAAGTTGGAGGACCAGTTTAGTGATTTGGACTTAAATTATGAAGCAAAGTTTCTCTGGCTATCTCACGCAGCACTAGATAGTATGATCAGGAAAAAGATCATCATAAGTAACATTCAGTTTTCAATGGATTGAGCAAAAAGGAGTGCATATCAACAATTCCTGTGAGATGAGATTGTGTGTTCACACAATCACACAAACAATAGAGATCATGCATAGCAAAAAAGAAGAGCAGGGCATGATTGAGATCGTAAATGCCATCGCTTAGCACACACCTTGACTTTGTTATCATCAGCTCCAGTGGCCAATAACTGAGAATCTGGTGAGTACGCAATGCAATTCACATCAAAGTAGTGTCCCTGATGTTTCAAAATGTAGCTCTCCGACCGCCACTCCCACACCAGAAGCTGCCCAAGTTTGGCGCATCCAAAGACAAGCCAATTCCCCAAACTGTTGAAAATAGCAGTGGTGATCTTCTCTCTTGATATTGACAGCAAGTGGAGGCACACAAAGTCTGGCATCTGGTACAGCCCAAATACTCCACTAGAGAATCCAACCACCACCATGTCAAGCTCCCAGTGGTAATCACATGCTGTTAACTTAGCCGGTGACTGCATGAAGAAATGCTTTTCCCGCAGCTCCCATTTTGCCAAATGCAGCTTAGTGTCTGGTTCCTCCAATTCTCCTAAAATCTTCCTTTTCCTGCTCCCATCATCCAGTTCCATGACATCATTCTGTTCTGACCCCTGCTCTGGCGTCCCTGGTGATGGCGGAGGTGAAGTATCATTTTCCTCATTTCCTTCCACCAAATTCCATGTAAAGATAGCTCCATCCTTGGAGACTGTATAAACCCCCTTGACTCTCCCTGTCTTCTTATCCGTGGCAAAGAAGGCACCTACGACAGCCGCGCGATGGCCAAGGAAGAGGAAGGGCTTGCCTCCTAGTCCCTTCTTGACAGGCAAGAGCCGAGCTGTCAGGTCCTTGCAGGACGCGAGGAGGAACGCAGAGTCCGGGGACCAATCGAATGCTGTCACGCCAGCGGCGAAGCCCGGGAAGGTGCGGAGGAGGTGGAAGGGGAAGAACTCCCTGCGGAAGCCCGGCGAGCGCCAGATCTGTACGACCTTCCCGACGGCCACGGCGATGAGCTGACCGTCGGGGCTGAAGCGGATAGCTGACGGCGCGCCCTTGAAGGAGACGCGGTGGAGGACGGCGCGGCGGCGGAGGTTGGCATAGAACGCGCGGCCGTTGTCATCGGCCGCGAGGAGGAAGTCGCCCGAGGGGGAGGCGGCCAGGCGGGTGACGTTGGACGAGGACTCGAAGGGGAGGGTGAGGGACGAGGAGGCGGCGAGGTCGGTTGAGGCCACGCGGTTCCCGACAGCGGAGAGGAGAACGGGCGAGTCTCCCGCGAAGACGGCATCGCCGCCGCGGTACGGCGCGCCGAGGAGGTTCTGGAAGCGGTAGTTCATGGCGGGAGAAGAGGGAGGGGGAAGGCGGGCGGGTGGGCGGCCGCCTAGGGTTTTGGGTGAGGAGGGGAACCGGCTCGACGACGACGAGGGGGTTTTAGTTGATTTTGAGTTTTGAGTGGGTCGTGGGCTCGTGGCTTCTTCTGATGGACCCAACTGTTTGGTCGGCCTGGGGCTATTTGGCCCAAGTTGGTAACTTGGCAGCTAGACCTTTTGTTTTGGACTTTTGGACACCCAATCTCTATCTTTACATCTACGGTTAAAATGAAAAGTTCATTTTACCTTTCTAAACTATTGTTGTAATCTGATTTTTGTTCTCGAACTTCAAAATTAAATAATTTATTCTTAGTCAAAGGGCATTTATAGTGCAATAGTAGGCCAGTGGAAAACCATCAGGGTTCAAACCCTAGTGTTGCACTTTTTCTACCATCGTGGTTCAAATTCTAGTGTTCCCAAAATACCCAACTATTTTAGCACTTTTTATGTATATATTTTATACTAGTATATGTATATGTAGGATATATTTTGTAGTATTTTCACTCATTGAAGCCCAAAAGCTTTGATCTCAAATTGGCTCATATTTTGTAGTTTTTTCCTCATTGAAGGTTAGAAAACTCTCAATCTTTTATTAACGTGGAAGTAGGAATACCCAAGTTTAGAATCCTCAGCTCCGCCCTTTGCGCATGTATATTGATGGTAGTCGTGTGTTTCCGTGCCTTTGGAGATTAGAAAGACTCTCAATCTTTTCTTTGCGTGTATATGGACGCGCGCATTGGAGGCTAGAAAGTCTCCCAATCTTTTCCTCGCATGTATATGGATGCGCACATGCATGTGTGCTTGTGGTGTGAGTGTGGAATGCAAGGGTTGTGTTGCGTCCAGTTGTACCAATCAAAAAAATTGTTCTTAAACTCTCAAAACCATTCAAATTAGCTCTCTCCCCTAGTTTAACATGGACGAACCATGTATTTTGTTGTAAACATGATTTCTTCATCGACGCTGCATAGCACACAGGATGTACGGTGACCACAATCCAGTGGCATCCATCTGCCGCTCCAAACCTTAACGCCATGTTAATTGGGAAAGCTTTTTTCAAATGTTAATTGGGAAAGGTAATCGAGTAGACAGGCTCCTTGTTGGGGTAGAAGAGCCAAAGTTCCTCTCCGTTAGATGCCCGGTCTTCTGGTTCTCGTGTCTCCAGCGCTCCGGGTCTCTTGGGCGTGCCGCGGTAGGCATGATCGATCAGGCCCTGGTTGTACCTCCGCGCATTGTCCACGGCGCCGCGAACCCGCCGGCCGACGGCCACCTGCTCTCCGACACGACGATCCTGACACCCCTTCTCAAGCGCGGTGTGGATGGCATCCACCATGGCGGCGAAGATGTTCGTGTAGGTGAGCTCGTTGCCATCGTCCCTCATGGTCATGCCCAGCTGGAACGTCTCGTAGCCGAGCGTGATGTCGCGTGGATTGTCCCTATAGGCGAAGTACGGGTAGACGTTGGCGAGTAGGGTCGACCCGGCGTCGGCAGCAACCGCGCGACGGGCACCATGTGCCCACGCTGGAGATGAAGACACCGCGCGACGGTGGGAATAAGTGAATCAGGAGACGTTAATTTTGGTAGCACCCATCCTTTTATTATATTTAAGAGAACCAGTTCACAAAATCAGTATAAAATCACTTCTTTGTAATAATGGTCACATAATAGCAGGTTCGGTGTGGACGATGATCAATGGAACATGGCCCTTGAGGGTTGTCATATCAGTAATTATTAATTGCATTAGGTGTAGTTTAGCATTTCCATAAGCAATGTTTCCTCAACTTGTCGGTCATGGAATATCTCTAAACATAGCGCACCTCATATTAGAGCTTTAGATGTAGTTGTTAATTGCATTAAGTGTAGTTAACTCTAAACTTTAGCACACTTCATATTAGAGCTTTAGAACTCAAATCTAAGCTAAAGTGCTCTATATTTTTTTTGAGCTCGAAAGTTTAAAGGGTCAAAGTATCAAGATGTCCAAGAGGGGGGTGAATTGGACTAATTTTTAATTTCTTTGCAATAATTAAACCCTATGGTTAGCTCAATTAACCCCTTGTGCCTAGAAAGTGTTTCTATTGATCTAACGCACAAAAGTTTAGCAACCTATGTTCCAATCATACTCTAGCATAGTAATTCTATGAATGCAAATGACAAGAATTAAATTGCTTAAAGTAAATGCTCAAAGTAAAGAGAGAAGGAGGAACGCGGCGATGTTTTGCCGAGGTATCGGAGAGTCGCCACTCCCCACTAGTCCTCGTTGGAGCACCTGCGCAAGGGTGTAACTCCCCCTTGATCTACGCAAGGATCAAGTGCTCTCTATGGGTTGATTCTTCGACACTCCGTCGCGGTGAATCACCCACAACCGCTCATAACTTGAGTTGGGTCATCCACAAGCACCGTCGGATGATCGCCAAGCTCCCAATCACCACCAAGCCGTCTAGGTGATGGCGATCACCAAGTAACAAGCACGAACTCTCATTTGACCACGACAAGCCTAATGAGAAGGGTGGATGCACACTTTGCTACTATTAATCTCACTAATGAGGGCTCTCTTTGGGATTCTCAAATGTCAATCACCTCACTAGGACATTGCTCTTCTTGACACTCTCAAAGGTGTTTCTCAGCTGTTGGAATGAGCAAAAGTAGCCCCACACACGAATGGATGAAGTATTTATAACATCGGCTGAAAAACGAACCGTTATGTGCCTCTGCGAGGTGACCGGACGCTCCGGTCAGTTCACCCCAAACTCTAGTGTTTAAAGTGTGACCGAGACGGTGGGCGTGTCCCGTCGGACCTTGACCGGACGCAGCGTTCGATCGCGATTTTCCTCTATGAAACCTTCTTGAGTCGGCCGACGGCTCGGCGTCCGGTCACTTCACCTCTCAACGTCCGGTCGCACCAAACGAAATCACCTTGGTCAAATGAACTGATCGGACTCTACGCCAGCGTCCGGTCATACTGAAGCCAGCGTCCGGTCAGCATTTGACCCTCCATTCACTTCAACTCTCAATCATGCGTGAATGAAGTTTGCTCTAATGGATCTTAGGGCTTTTTAGGAGCTACCTAGTGCTAGTTTTAACAAGTGTACATCACACCTAACTCACTAGACTCATTTAGGTCAAGCTACCCGTCCATACCCCCCTTAATAGTACGACCAAAGGAAAAACAAAGTCCTAAACTACTCTAAGTGTCTTTTCAACATCAAACGACACTTAGAACTAGTCCATCCTTAACCTTGTCATCCATCCTTTGAAAACCGAAATGATTTCTATCGTAGGGGCATGACAACCATGATTGCCCAATCGATCTCCATTACCATGACCTAACTTAATTGCCTCTACAAAACACACATTAGTCATAGTAATCATGTATTGTCATTAATCACCGAAACCCAACTAGAGGCCTAGATGCTTTCAATCTCCTCCTTTTTGGTGATTGATGACAATACCACCTCGAGTATGTGAAAGAGATGAGGTTTTTAGCATGCTTGGTTCATATAAGCTTTTGGCAATAAGAACAAAAGTGTTAGGCAAGCTTATATGACCCAAGCCAACATGATGTACTCAAAAGATATGAAATAAGCATGAGTACAAGTAATAAAGCTCATTTGCATTGGAGTAAAACATGGAAGCAAAAGCAAATGAGTATAACACAAGTGCTATGACATATAAATGATTCAAAATAAAGAGCACACATGTCATATATCACGATCACGTAGATATCACTATCACATAAATATAGTTTGATGCATAAAGGTAAACACACGAATGCATAATAGTGTATCACACATAAAACTCTAAATGTAATAGATAAGCTAATAGATAGACTCTCCCTAAATATGTCACTCCCCCTAAGACTAACATACTCGAACCCTCTCCCCCTTTGGTGTCAAACACCAAAACTTAAGGGTCGATCGGCGGGGCTACAGCGGATGAGCCAGGCGCTGAGGTACGAGGAGCGAGCTGGAACTAGGTGCCATCATCATCTAACTCTGAGCTCTGAGCAGTCTAACCCTCTGTAGCTGGAAGCGATGCTGAAGTAGTCTGGGTCGTATCAGGGACTGAAGCTACTGTAGACTGTGCTGGTATGACTGAAGTAGGCGACTCTGATGATGCCACTGAGGAAGGGAGCGTCTCTATAGTCCCGGTACTAGGTGCAACTGTGGAAGGACCTAGGACATGTAAATATGGTGAAGTAGGCTGCCCTGTCAACTCACTGAACGTCGCTCCAAGGCTCTTGGAGACTGAGGTATCTAGCACTAGCAGCGAGGATGTCTGAGCCGGTGTGAAGCCTGTCTAAAGAGGTGTGAACTACAGGGCTAGCACTGGCGAGGCAAACCACTGGGACACCTGCTCTGTAGGAGAAGCAAACTGTGCTGGTGGCTGTCCCTGACTCTGAAGCCCACTAGGCTATAACGCTGGAGTCATAGAAGTGGTGGCAGGCTGACCAAGCTAGGGCGAAGGCTGTGGTGGTAGAGCCCCAATAACAGTCACAACATGCTACATAAACCCAAGTAGCTGCTGCTGCTGATGCATGGTCTGCTGTTGCTGCTGTATAGCCTACTGCTGTCGCTGGAACTCGTCCTGCCGAGTCTGGAACTGTGCAAAAGTAGCGGCGGTCTCCTGTGCCTGGCGAGCCTAATCCTTCCTCATCCGCTCAAGGATAGCAAGTAGAGCGGGGTTTGCTGCGGTTCAGGTGGAGCTAAACTAGAGCTACCAGCCTCATGGTCATGTCGACGTGGAGGCATATGAGGAATGTCCCGGTAGTCCTTGTCTGAGCTGTCACTGGGTTGCTCTCGACCATCCCCTCCTGCTGAGCATCAAGCTCCTCCTCCTCTATAGCTACTATGCCCCTGATAGTATCATCCTGCTGGGTTGTAGTCTCTGGCACCTATGGACGAAGACACGGCTGGCTAGGTGCACTCGGTGTACTATGGTGGATCATCTGAGTCAGGATGTATGCAGGGAAC